GCTGAACCGGACCGCTTCGCTTCAGCCCCAAACCGCGCTTCACGCGCGAAGCGTGCGCTTCGTTAGGACAGCGCTCGATATGGAGGCGATGAGCGAGAGAAACGAATCGCTTCGCTATGCGCCTGAAGTGCCCGCTCCGACGCACGCTTTTAACAACGCGCTTCAAAAATGCAACGAATAGAGCTAGTGCAGAGCGGTGGGATTCGAACTTCAGCCGATCAAGATGGAGGATGCTCGAACCTGGAAGAAGCTTTGGAAACCTGAGGTCAGAGACAGGATGAAGGCCGCAATCGATTGAAGCAGATTCAGGACGATCGGAGTAAGGGAGGCAGCAGAAGTTAGGAACGGTCGTGGAGATGGACGAGAAACGTGGAAGTAGTTGCGTCAGCAGAGAAGCAGGTGAGGAGACGAGAGGGATTCGGGAATCAAGTATATTGCATTGCTGTTGAAGAAGAAGATTCACGAATGAGGGAGGACACAGGAGGTACACAAATTACATATCAAATACCTAAAATTTTCACACACAAAGATATATATATATATATATATATTATATATATATATTATTTTTAAATTACATTCAAATATTTATTATCAATATTCTAGATCATAACCTCAAATTTATCCTTTCACATGCAAACTTAAAAGATGGTTATCGAAGATTACTCAATTCTGACATCATCAAGGCACTTAAATGTTTGTAGAACACGGTTCAATCGAGAGAACCTCTCCAGACAGTGCGATCAAAGTGGTATGGATTTCTTTTCTTATTTGTGACCTAGGCTCTATAAATAGAGTCATACCCACCTCTTGAAAAGGGAGAGAGACCCTAAGCAGAGGAAGATCGAAGCTTAGAGAAGAAGAAGTTGAAGCCCAACATCATTTCTTCATTGAAGATCTGACAAACTCCTCCTATGTCTGCAGCCATCGACCTCCATCAACCATCGATCAACGACCATCATCGACCGCCAGCTACTTATGGTGAAATTGTGCGTCTGCACCTCCCACTAGAGCTCTCATGTTAGGATGTTTTGGGTTCATGATTTGATGAATTTGGGAGCCCTCATGCCTAATTGGGAATTCTAATAAAGAACCTAAGTATATAAGGATGTGGTTGTGATGAGATAGGCCCTTTTGGCCTTTGGGGCTTGGCCTTTAGGGTTTAGAAAGTCTTCAGGGCTCTAGGGTTTCTTTCTTGGGTTCACTAGAAAGAGTTTTTTTTTTCCCCCTTCTTCTTCAGATGTTGATTTCTTATGAGAGTTGAGATTGTGAGAGGAGAGTGGAGTGCAATTGTATGACGGGAGATTCATAAAAGATGGATCATGATATATTCTTGTATTAATTGACTCGAGTTTGAGTTTCTTATTTCGTACATTGTACCCCTTTTTTTCCCGTAATACAAATTTTGTATTTTCTTTTAGAATACATTTGTAGTTATTTTTCTTTCGTACTTATGTAATTTAACGCATGTGGATTTATTGTTATTTCATTCTATGGATTTTGTCCCTTGATGTTTTTTCTTTGCATGAATTTTATAAGTTGATATGTTAACTTTTTGGACTTATTCAGAGACGATAGATTGTTAAGATTCATGTGATATAGGACTAATGACCATCATGTAGAAGAACAAGTAGTTTAACACACAGTAGCCTAGTAGAATAGACATATTGATATAGTTTCTAACACTTCTTATGACCTAGAAATAGGTTAAGGAGGATGTCCCTGGTTATTAACAATAGTGTGAGTTCTGTAGGAAAACTCTGAAAAAACAACAGACTAGTGTCGCAAGATTATGAACTTTTCATATCTGAAAAATCTCATAAATGTCTAGTTTATTGTTTTATTCTGCATTAGGATTTATAATTTTTCATATCTGCATCTTAACTTTCATACTAGGCTTTTCTTACGTGATCGATACACATACTCTTTTTTGTATAGTTCTTGATCAACATGTATGTTTATGTGATTGACCGACTTACCTCACATCAATTTTGGTCATTAAGTTTTTGGCTTCGTTGCCAAGAAAAAGGAGCAAAATTTTCTTACTTCATAAAAATTTTAGTTAAAATATTTAGAGTCCAAGTTTGAAAATGTTATCAATTTTTTGTTATGTTTTCCACTTTATTTTATTTCTTATGTTTATTTTTAAATTTTTTGAAAAAAATATATATATCAAAATAAAAATAAAATAAAAATGTTACACCGGTTAGGAATGACACCCCCTCGGGACAACCAATTTGAACTCTTAGGGAGTATGCTAACCCGTGGATAGTCGGAGTTCACATGAGTTTCAAACACTCTGGTATCGAAACTAAGTTCAATTACCCATATTCCAGCACCTACAACCCAAGCTTGACGATCTACCCAAACTTGAATTAGAAGAATAGTAACCCTATTTTACAAAACCAGTAACGATGGAGCACCCAAGCCAATCTTTTAGAAATTTGGAACAACCAAGATAATGACCACCTTAGATCAACTCACACATTTGGATTCACTTCTAACCCCCAATTTAGGGAGGAGAACTTGTCTTTGGATGAATTTGTAGTAAATAAGAGGAATGAGTTATAAAGCTAAATTGCAGTCTTGAGAACAATAAAAAACTAAATTGGACTGTTAGATAACACTTTATGCAATGAACCCCATTGGACGTTACCAAGTCACATTGAAGCGAATGTTGTAGAAGGAGGTGAGGGGCAATTGCATAGGGTAGATATGGTGCCAGAGATAGTTGATAACCATGATTTTGAATCTGAAGAATTGGACTTGAAAGAGCAATTTATATTTAACTACTTTTGTTAGACAGTGACTAAGAAAGATTATGCTCTTCTTTTTTAGAGACACCTAGAGTTGTTAGGGAGAAATTTGAGCTTATAGGATCAACCATAGGAGGTTCCCCAGAAAAGGAGTTGGATGATAGCCCTAAGCAGGAGAGAAACTAAGTAGATTTAGGCTTGAGCCTCAAAAACCTAGGGAGAATCCAACTAGTGATTTAGAAAACCTTCATTTACCTTTTAGGGACACAATTCTTGTAAATTATGAAGAAAATACTAATCAACAAAACAGGGATATAATTAAGGGAGTTTTGGTTCTAGAAAATATACTTAGAATTAATAATCTAAATCAACCCCTACATACCCTTCATATGACTATTATCAAATGCAGATTATAGGATTACTGAAGATCAAGTGATTGTTAAGTTTGGGGAAATTAACACTAGAGAAATTTAAGTGTTTTTTCTACATTTAATTTTATGTTTTCTTGCATATTTATCATGATTATACACTTGGAAAAGGTATTATGTTGTGATTTTGTAGGGTACAAAAGATTAAATCATTTGAGAAGGAAAATGAGACAATTTAAGGATCCAAAAAAAATAAAAAAGGATACCGTGGTCTGGTGCACCCTCCCCCAAATTTGACGTCCTTGCTGCAAGTTCAGAGAGGACGAAAAAATCATGTTAGAAGCAAGCACATCTAGGCTTCCTTGAAGCGCACCCCCGCCTTCAATTTTGCATGCCCGTGCAGCACCAACAGTGTGCCCACGCTTGCTACACCACAAGCTTATGCCACAACTCTAAATGCAACGCGCCAACGCCTCCCACTGGCGCACCCATGCCTAACTGCCACACATGATGTTTTGGATCCACATTTTGATGAATTTCGATAGCCCTCATGCCTAATTGAGAACCTAATGAAAAACCTAAGTATATAAGGATGTTTTTGTCATGAGAAAGGCACTTTTGGCCTTTGGAGCTTGACCTTTGGGGTTCTGAAATTTTTTGGGGCTCTAGGGTTTCTTCTTTTGGTTCACTTGAAGGAGTTGTTTTTTCTTCTTGTCAGATGTTGGCTTCTTTTGAGAGTTGAGAGAGTGAGAGGAGAGGTGGAGTGTAATTGTACGACTGGAGATTCATGAAAGCTTGTATTGAATGGAGAGGACCATGATGTATTATAAGAACCAATTGGCTTGGGTTTAAGTTTTTTGACTTCATGGGTTGTGCCCTTTTTATTATTGTAATATAAATTTTCTATTTTCTTTTTGAAAGTGTTCATAGTTAATTTTGTTTCATACTTCTATGATGTAAGGCATGTGGATTTATCATTGTTTCATTTTATGGATTTTAATTTTTGATGTCTTTTTTGTGCATGAATTTCATAAGTTGATGTGTTAACATTCCAGTTTTTGTTTATTTCGATTCAGACATGATAAAATATTAAAATCCCTTGTGATATAGGACTTCTAACCTTTGCCTAGAAGAACAAGTAGATTAACACAAAATAGCCTAGTGGAATATACATATTGTCATTAAGAAACTGCAACCAAGATAGGGGACTAGATAAATTCTGGAAAATGTTGCATGGTTAAGCCCACTTAACTGCAATATGATTTCCAATTCTTCTTATGATCTAGGCATATGCTAAGGAGGACATGTTCCTGGTTTTCAACAATAGTGTTGGTTCCATAAAAAAACTTTTAGAAACCGTATGATTGGTCTCGTTGGAGTATTAACCTTTCATATCCAAAAAATCTCACAAAAATCTCGTTTGTCATTTTCTTTT